GAGAAAGAAGAAGATGAAAGAAATTAAAGTTAATTATGTTTAAGGAGAAGATGAGGATAGAAATGGGAAATGAAAAGACAAAAAGAAAATGATGATTTAAAAAAAAATTATATTACAATCTATTGATTACATGAAAAATAAATTTTATTACCAATTCATCAATTTTGCTAACGTGTAATAACACGTCAACAATGAAAAGAAAAAATATAATATTTAACAGATTATAGTGCCACCCTATCACTTAATTGACGAAAGGACCAAAAAAGGGTCGGATTTTAAAATTTAAGGACTACAAAAGAGATTTTTTCAGTATAGAGATAAAAAATAGCTTTTTTCAATAGTAGAAGGACCAAATGACATTTAACCTTAAAACAACCCAAAGTGACAAGTGCGATTTCAGAAGATTCTGTAAAGAATCTTAAAATACCATGGCTTTCTTTTTTCTTTTTCTTCTTTCTACTTTTATGTTTTTTTATGAAAAAAAAAGGGCATATATAGAATTTCATTTCTATGCTTATTATTTAATAAATAAACTTTAAATTTTGAGGATCAAATCTAGTCTCTCATCCTGAAAGAATCTACCATTTAAAGATCAGATGGATAAGACCATACGAGAAATGTCAGACACAAAATTAAATAATTGATAATTTTATGATACTACGTTTATATAGGGTGAAGGTGTGCATACCTCCATCTGGGCGAGACTATACGAGAATATTTTTTACAATATAAAGTGATACAATATATATATATATTATATTAAAAAATTAATTGTTTAAAATTATAAAAATTTAAATATTTAATATTTATTTAAAATTAAAGTTTTTAAATTAATAATAATACTAATTCAACCAAACTCTTAACAGTGATACGAGATAAGTAAGTAGAAACCAATTTAAACGCGATTTAAATATGATAAGAATCCATCAATTATGGGTCAATCAAGGGATGTAAAAAAAGTTCTTTTCTTCTTGATGAAAATTTTTGGAATATTAGGAATTGCCAGAGTTTTGAAGAAAGTCATTTTCATCATGTCGGCCACCCCAAAATAAACGTGCTTCCAGAAAGAAGTCACAAATTGGAAGCATACGATGACAATTTGGCGTGTGATTTGAAGTAATTGGGCAATATTTTAGATGGAAACTTTCAATTTCCATGTGTCAACCAAGAATTTAGGTCCATTATTTAAATAATTTTATACACAACAGTTTCATAATCAAAGAAGCTTTAATAATAATGTTACAACAACGTTACCACCAATAATCCTTTCGTCAAATTAAATGAGGCCAAAGCCACAATTATCGAACTAGACTTTAGTCCAAGCACTTTCCTTGGTCCAATATTAAAGTGCATAGTTGAGGTTTCATGAAATCCTCTCTCTTTTTCTCAGTAAATTGAAGATTAGTTATCTGACATTATGGGTATCTTTAGAAACTTGAATTTGTATTGGAATGATATATTTAAAATACATATACTTTTAAGTATATGTATTTTAAATTTATTATTTGAATTAATATAACAATAATAAATTTGCTATTCAATTTGTTGATTGAGGAAAATGAGAGAGTTGAAATATATAGATATAAATTTGAAATATATGGATTGGGAGGGCATTTCAAATGCACAAATTTAAAACAATGAAATACATGAATCCAATTATATGTATTTGAAATAAATTCAATTGCATACTTATTTTATAAAAACAAATAGATTGTATCTGGAAGCATGTATTTATATTTGATATGTATATTTGAAATATATGTATTTAAAATACATAAATTTTAAATATATGTATTTCAATGATATTGAATTTAAAAGATTTAGGTTCAAATTCAAATATATTCTAAAAATCACGTTCCCAAATATACCATATAAGAATTTTAATGTCTAATACTGACTTTAAGGGCCTGTTTGATGCAGCGGTTAAAATTCAACGGATAGCGGATAGCGGGTAGCAGATAGTAGATAGCGGTAACCGATAGCGGGTGGTGGTTAGCGGATAGCAGATGACGAATAGCGAAAAGTAGG